TACATATACATTTAGTGGACATCAAAGAGACTGATTTATTTTTTTCAGTCACATAGATTTGTTTGTTTGTTTGTTTTCATTTATTTTTATTAGTTGGAGGCTAATTACTTTACAGTAGTGTAGTGGGTTTTGTCATACATTGACATGAATCAGCCATGGATTTACATGTATTCCCCATCCCGATCCCCGCTCCCACCTCCCTCTCTACCCAATCCCTCTGGGTCTTCCCAGTGCACCAGGCCCAAGCACGTGTCTCATGCATCCAACCTGGGCTGGTGATCTGTTTCACCATAGATAATATACATGTTTCGATGCTGTTCTCTCGAAACATCGCACCCTCGCCTTCTCCCAGAATCCAAAAGTCTGTTCTGTACATCTGTGTCTCTTTTTCTGTTTTGCATATAGGATTATCATTACCATCTTTCTAAATTCCATATATATGTGTTAGTATGCTGTAATGTTCTTTATCTTTCTGGCTTACTTCACTCTGTATAATGGGCTCCAGTTTCATCCATCTCATTAGAACTGATTCAAATGAATTCTTTTTAATGGCTGAGTAATATTCCGTGATGTATATGTACCACAGCTTCCTTATAATGACTAGGAGATAATGTGGGTGTCACTAAAATCTGTAATTTTTATCAAAATTATTCAATTAGTAGTTACAGATGATGTTGACATGTGTGTTCACACCCTAGTACCTTGTTCAACAAAGACTATTGTGGTCTTTGGGGCTCATTGGAATTTCAGAAACAGCTGTACTTTGACCAAAGTGTAAATCCTACAATTAACTTTTGAAAGTTCAACAAACAGTATTTTGAAAGCTTTGCCATCACTAACGAGGAAAGGGGCCCCCAATTAAATACACATTAGACAGACGATGAAGGATCTGGGTAGCACTGAAGGCTTTTCAGCTTCCATATACAATCTACTGATGCTGTTTATAACGTATTTAAATAAAAGTTTTCTCTGAAAAAAAGAATACACATTAATCTGAGAACAGCAATGTCACCAGGGACAATTCCATAATTAAGAGTGCATACTGTATGCCAGGTACTCTGCTAAGATGCCACAGCTCTTGTTTTCAAAGGAGCTCACAATTCAATGGTGTAGAAAGATGTGGGGAAAAAAGTACTGGAGTGTAATGAGTTCTGAGAGTTTGTTTAAAAAAAAGAATTACCATGGAAACCAGAGATGGGAGTAACTGATTTCCAGCGTCATGCAGCCCGAGTAACTGATGATGGATGGACCTTGGTCCATCTGGGAGTCATCACCCATCGACCCAGGTTCTGCCTCTCTGTGGTGGCCATGTCTTGGGCAAATGACTTACACTTTCATAGTGGCCCCCTCATCTCCTTACTGATCACAGCCCATACCTGCCATATCTGGGTACTGCACAGATTCAGCGATACAGATAGAATACGTAAATTGTACTGCAAACAGAGCAGTTGGCCAAAAAATTAATTTTTCTTCTTAACATAAATAGTAAAGGTATATAGGTTTAATGGGCTTCCCTGGCAACTCAGTGGTAAAGAATCCACCTGCTAAGCAGTAGGTGAATTCAATCCCTTGGTGGGGAAGACCTCTTCCCCCTGGAGAAGAAAATGGCAACCCACTCCAGTATCCTTGCCTGGGAAATCCCATGGACAGAGGAGCCTGGCCGACAGAGTCAGAAAACTCAGGGACAAAACAGCAGCAGTAATACAGGTTAAATAGGTTAATTCACATCCTGTTTAATATTTGCGATAATTTAGAAATAGATCAAACTGAAATTTATTCTTGTATTTTACCTGGAACATTCTTTCATTATTTGTTATTTTTAGTGCAATTTTAGTTTACATACCCTGAGTTGTTTTATCAATTGATTCATCATAAAACTATTTCATATAGCTCTATAGCATTCATTCTTGGGTGGTTTTTTTTTTTTTTTTTTTCTGTTAATGATCTTTGGTTTAAAAAGGCCATTCCTGCCAAGGTAAATGAAAACTCATGACCTGGCCTTGAAAAAAAATTGAGAAAATAATCCCTCATAATTCCAGCCTACTCAGCATCAGAGCAGAAACCAGAAAGTATTCCATCTCATTCCCTGATAAAAGAACAGATATAAATCCTTGATGACTTAATGACTTCAAACTCTGTGAAACCAGAGTAAAAGCTCTTTGACCACAGTGCTTCCCCGCAGTTAAGTCCTTTTCATCGAGTCAGGTTCTTGCTTTTTTATTTTTATTTTTTCAAGTTACTAAATATGAGTCAAAATCATGAATTACAGTCAGGATGTTTGATCCAGCCAAGTCTTAAAGCATCTTGTCCCCACCCTCACCCCACTCCCTTTCTGGGGGCTGGTTAACCAGTGTGGAAGATCAAACGAGATTGCTACACTCATCAGTTGGTGCCAAGAAAGCGGTGCTTTTTGAAGGCTTTCGATGGCACTTGAGTCCTGGTGAGGAACCACCATCAGTTTTCACAAACCTGAGCAGAAGCTGTGTTTCGTTCCCCCATCTTCTGCACTACAGGGCTTAGGTCCAGATATAAGCCTGTGTTTTGGCATGGGCCTTGGGACTACAAGTGGAATAAGGGAAGTCCTTTGAGGAAATATATGAGAAAAAAATATCAATGGATATGAAAGATTGGCAATAGGGTGGGTAAGATATTTTCTTTTTTAAAAAAATGAATTTATTTTAATTGGAGGCTAATTATGTTACAGTATTGTAGTGGTTTTTGCCATACATTGACATGAATCAGCCATGGGTGTACATGTGTCCTCCATCCTGAACCCCCTTCCCACCTCCCTCCCCATCCCATCCCTCAGTCCCAGTGCACCGGCTTTGAGTGCCCTGTTTCATGCATCAAACTTGCACTGGTGATCTATTTCGCATATGGTAATATACATGCTTCAGTGCTGTTCTCTCAAATCATACCACCCTCGCCTTCTCCCACAGAGTCCAAAAGTCTGTTCTTTATATCTGTGTCTCTTTTGCTGTCTCGCATATAGGGTCATCATTACCATCTTTCTAAACTCCATATTTATGTATTAATATACTGTATTGGTGTTTTTCTTTCTGACTTACTTCACTCTGTATAATGGGATTCAGTTTCCAGATACTTTCTTAATGAGCCCAATACTGTTATACTTAACTATAACATAAAGGCAATTTTGGAAATGTGTCTTTAGTGGATAAGAATTTTGACAGTATTTTATTCTTCTCCATGTATTTGTGTATGTGTGCATACACATAGTCTTTAGGTAGTCTTCCTAACCCTTATGTTTAAGAAGCCTCTTACAGTTATATTCTTCTTTACAAAAAAAAAAAATCCACATATTCCACCAACATGTTTTAAATGCCTCTTTGGTAGAAGTAAGAAGTTGAGAAATAAGTTTATATAAATTTGACATATTTTCTTCTGATCCAATTTTTTCTTTTACTTTAGCACACATAGAGAACACACATTCATACTATTGGACATAAATTTTTGTATTATATATATAGCCTGAACATGACTTTTTGAAAAACTCAACAATGTTTTTGAATTCTAGCGCTGCTTAAACACATAGATTTGTTTTGCTTGTTTTTTTAAGATGGTGTATTTAAATATTCCATCATATAAAATACATTTTATGTATCTACTACTCCCTTACTAATTGGCATTTAACTTGATTCCAACTTTCAGTATTATAAATAATGCTGTGTGAACATCCTTTTACTGGGGTCTCCTAGGGAGTGGGTCTCTAGGGCAGATGCCCCATAGTGGGCCAGAGAGCCAGGACATATTCCTTTTTCTTGGTACTGTGAGGTTTTCCTTAGAATGGCTGCATTCATTCATTCTCCCACCAACAGTTTATGAAAATACCTATTTCTTCAGTCCAGCTATATTGGGTATTGTCATGTGTTGTTTTATTTTATTTTTTTGCCAACCTGATGATTGAAAATATTGTTTCATGTTTACACTTTTGAGTCCCATTCTGCAGCTGTGATATGTCATAATATAATGAGACTGCTAAAATCAGATGCACGAAAGAAAAACATACACCCAAGAGCTTATGTTATATTGCATTATTTCCAAATGTAAAAGGAATTGTCATTTGGATAAAAAGATTAAACCGACTAATTCTCTGGACAAACATTTATTAAGCATTTCATACTAGGCACTAGGATTACAGAGATAAACAGATTTTGGACTGACATCAGTCAGGGGCTCCAATAGAGGAAAGAGGTACTTCAACCAGTAATTTCTGCACAGAGGAAGGAGAAAATCACTTTAATTCTCTTGATGGTGGGCACTGCATATTAGAAAGACATCAATTTTAAAAGGCAGTAAACGCCTCATTAAATGTTTAAAAAGATTTTCACACGTTTACTCTTCGGCTGGGCACTACATGATATAAACAGTCCATGACAGAACACCCCTAGGAGTCGCAGTGAGCTGTAAAAAGACGCACAGATGAGAACTCGTCCCCTAACCCCCGTGAGAACACAGTTAAGAGGTTACCTGTGCTCAGCACACCCCCTCTACCAGTAATGAAGTTTCTCAGCACGTGGCATGGACTTAGCACCAGGCTAGGTGCAGAGGTGCACACACATACCAAGATGTGGGCGACATGGTTCCTGCTCATCAGAAGCTCAGAATCCAGGTGGGGAGACAAGGCAGTTTATATTGAATGACCCTTTCATACTAACTCAGGAAAAGGAACTGAACCGAATTCAAATGATACTTCCATATGACCCACAGACAATGGACAGGAAACTTGAACACCTAGAGAAATGTTTTAGAGGGAAGCAGTGAGTAGAATGATAAGTTGTCCCAGGTACAGAGTTATAGTGTAGAAGAATAAATAATAAAATTGCATTCATTATGCTCTTAATCCACAGCCCTGCACATAGTAGGTATGCAATACACTCAACATCTTTTTGGGGTTGAGAGAATGTTATTAGTGACTGGGGCTCAGTTACTAATACAAATATGTCAAGAAAAATCAGTCTTTTTATTTTTGTTTTTTTTAGGTCAAGAAGTGGTTTTCAAGTGCCTTGGGGAAGGAATTCTTGAGAAAGCCTTCCAGGGGTATAATGCTTGCATTTTTGCATATGGACAGACAGGTAAGTAGCTGCTTTTCTTTACAGTCAGTGATATTAAATGTGCATTTCTTAAAACAGAAATAGAAAACACTTTGGGAGGTCATAGAAAAATGCTTCTGACTTCACAGGTTTAGCTGAATTAAATGATCAAATGTAATCTTTTTGAAGGTTCAACAGTTGTGAAATGAAGTAATTTAAGTGTTAATGAGCATGCTAGTTTCAAACTATTAAGTGTCATTTTCCTAAATTATAGTTTTAACCTGTATTTGAGCTAGGAAAATAATTACCAGTTTCTTAGTACAAATGTTATAGTGAAAAACTGTAGAAAAACTCTTAGTATCTATCATCCTATACAGAGTACTTCACTAGAATATAGAAAAGATGATAGGTTATTAAACAAAACTAGACTAGTGGTTCAGCAATTAACACTGTAAGCCATCCACTATTTCAGCTATAAAGTTGGAATAAATTAATTAAATGGTAATAATACTGCCTATTGTCACATTACAGGACATCAAGGAGAATATATAGCCAAGCACTTTCAAAAGTGTGAAATATTTTGTGGGTAAAATATGTTAATGTTACTTGATGTATAGTTGATATTTACACACTTTTTAAAGCTTTCTGTCGTATATTGGAGTATAGTTGATTAACAGTGTTGTGTTAGTTTCAGGAGTCCAGCCAAATGATTGTTGTACATATTTAGGCTGTTAGATAATCTCAAACAGAGTTCCCTGTACTATACAGTAGTTCTTTTTACTATATATACTTTTAGAGATTACATATTTGTAGCGCTTACATTAGTACGCCTCCATCTGGAGGTACCCTCTGGGTCTCACACTGGTGGTCAGGAGTGTAATAGTGTAAATAGTAACTCTGGTGTCTGAGGGCCTGGCTCTGGGGGGCCAGATTGTCTCTCTTTCTGCTGTGTGACCTTGGCCGATGTGTAGGATACACTTGTACAACTGAAGTGTTACACGTTGCCTCCTCTTCCATCCTCCTCTCTTTCTGCTCACCTTTCTCCAGGCTCAGGAAAATCCTTCTCCATGATGGGCAATGCTGAGCAGCGAGGCCTCATCCCAAGGCTCTGCTGTGCTTTATTTCAAAGGATCTCTCTGGAGCAGAATGAGTCACAGACCTTTAAAGTGGAAGTATCCTATATGGAAATTTATAATGAGAAAGTCCGGGATCTTTTAGACCCCAAAGGGTAAGTTAGTGGTTGACACAAACCTTATAATGGGGGTAGTAATTTTAAATGATCCTTAAGTTAAAGTTGCAAGTGAGTTTATGTGTTTGAAGCCCTCGGTCACCACTCCCGTTTCAGTTCGTTTACTGAGAGATCATCAGCTTCTCAAAGTCTGTCGATATACCCAGGATTCATAGTTTATCCTACACTCGTGTATAAAGTTGCTTACCCATGCCATTTAGATGACTGTTTTTAATGTTTTGGTATTTTTGCCACTACAGTTTATTCGTATTTATTCATTGAGTTAAGAATGACACAGTGGTCTTTCCATCTGCTCTAAATTGGAGGTAAAACGGTCGAAGGTTTCTAATGACCTGGCCTAGACAAGCCATTCTCTTCCATGGATGTACATTGGAATCACTCGGAGGCTTTTTAATGCAATACTGGCCTGAGCCCCTCCTGTAGGGCTGATGATTCAGTAGACCCAGGAGGAAACCCAGGCATCTGTATTTTTTAAAAACTAGGTGATAAAAGCCAGATGAGTTTGATTCATAGAGGAAGGAAAGGGCCATTTACCTTTTAATTAAAATTTTTGTTGATTTAAGAATAATATATATAAAAATTTAGAAAGTAGGTAAAGTGTAAGAAGAATAAAAATGGCCTATAATCCTCAAAAATAACTGCTGTTAACACTTTATGCATTTTGGTGTCTTAGATCTATGGAGTGGTTATGTAGTGTGTGTGTTGAGGTGCTTCTCTGAATACAATTCAGTATCCTGAATTTTTTATATAATATAATGAATACTTTCTCATGTTATTAAAATATTTTTTAAATACTTTCAGCAGCTATATAATCAGAGGTATAAGATAAAAATTATGGATGGCAAGGAAGTGACCCAGTCACCAGAAATGTTTTTACTTTTAGCTGATAACTGTGTAATGCATATGAAAGAACATTTAGGGATCGGGATGGGGAACACATGTAAATCCATGGCTGATTCATGTCAGTGTATGGCAAAAACCACTACAATATTGTAAAGTAATTAGCTTCCAACTAATAAAAATAAAAAATAAAAAAAATTTTAAAAAGAACATTTATAATACATGTAAGATAAAAAGAATAATAAAATCAATGACTGTTCTGCTCACCATTTGGCTTAATAAATGGAACGTTTTTATGTTGCTCATTATCTTCCTTCTCTTTTAAGAGTCTATGCGTAATTTTGCACAGTTTTTACCTGTATATGGCTTCATAATATGTTTGTCCTTTGATGACTTGCTACTTTCCCCCTCAATGATTTGTTTGTTCTGATGTATGAAGTAATAATTCATTGATTTTTACTGCTCCTTGGTATTCCATTGTACGAGATACCATAATTTATTTACTCTGTCTCCTCTCATTCCTGTGGTTTCCACTTTTTACCACAACAGTCCTTCTCGGAGCATTTCTGTACATTCCTCCCGGTGTACAAATGCAGGAGTTTCTAGGGAATGCGTCTAGGAGTGGAATTATGGGTCACAAGCTGTGGAATCTTCAGCCTTGGTGTTACAAAACTGTTCCCCAAAATAGTTGTACCAGTCTACACTCCCCCCAGTGGTGTACGAGAATCCCAAATGTTAGACACCATCAGAAGGACTTGATATTGTGCTTGATTTACTTTTTCATGCCCACGAATAGCGACAATCTCTGATTATGCAAACGGAGTGAGCCAGGTTCTGGAGGCATGGGCAGCTAGGCAGCTCTCTTGAACTGGTGCACTTGGTCTGCCCTTGTTTCAAAATACAACAGAATTGCTCATTGTCATATTGCATTCTTCAAGCTTAAAATAAAGTTAGTAAAGCCAGCTTTATGGAGTTGTGAGATTAAGATTGAGATAACTGAGAAGTTTTTAGGGAGCAAGGTCTAGATTTAGGGATGTGCGCATTCTTAGTTTCTTCTTGCCACACTTGAGTGATGTAGGCATTGACTCTTGGTTTGAAAAGTGATCAGTATTTGATGCTACGAAATATGTGACATAATGCAATATGGCCATAATATATATTATATATAGTTTTACTTTTCATCTCAGTTGTCTGTTGATAAGCTCTTCAAGTGGGTCCCAAACCAGGTTTGCCTTTTAAAAATTCAGGAGTCCTGAAATCTTGACCAGCAGAGCCAGTTCTCAATATAGAATAATAATTATCAGTAACTACAAACAACTGCTATCCTGTAGCATCATTCTTTGTATAAAATGGTCAGCACAGATCAGCATAAATCAATGCTCCTAATCTGAAAGGGTAAATTAAAAGTAAAACATTTTAATATTATTCAATTCTTGCTTAAAACTGTTAAGACATTACTTATTGAGAATATGCTTACTTATAAAATAGCTTAAAGGTTAAATTCAGTACTGTTTGTTCTTTGCTTCACTCCCCTCTCCCCACCCCATGTGAAATTAAAGTTCATCTACTAAAACAAGTTAGCCTAACCTAGTATTCTGTGTGCTGGTTGTTTAGTTTGGGAGTAGAGATAGAATTTTTAAAATAGTATGTTACTTTAAATAGAAATCAGAGTATAAAAGACATTCCTCATAAGGCATGCTGTTTTGCTAATCCAAGTAAAGTAGCTTTTAGGATAGTTTTTGATCGTTAAAAGAAAAGTTCTTTTGAAATTGCAATCCTAATTTCTGAGTACTTTTGCAAGTACTTTTTTTTAGAGAGAAAATCTCCAAGTTGGGTATGATTCATTCATTCCTTTTTCCTTTCTCTTGAAGGAGTAGACAGTCTCTTAAAGTTCGAGAGCATAAAGTTTTGGGACCATATGTAGATGGTTTATCCCAACTGGCTGTCACTAGTTTTGAGGTAAGTGTCATTTAAAAAAAAAAAAAGATATTAAAAGCTGCAAGTAAATTGAAGTGTATAGATCATATTGAATATATTTTTATGTGAATGCTTTATAGCATATTGTTACAATTGAGGGTCTCAGAAACCCAGTATCAACCACCCCAAACAGAAAATAAAGGCTTTTAATCACAGTCTTCAAGCCGCTTGGTTTTGAAGGGTTTGCAGTGTTGCCGGGAGGCCCAGCATCCTGAACTTGCTAAATATTTTCATGAATAGCACTCTATTGAAACTCTTCTCCCTCAGGTTGCCAGTGATGTACTTCTGGACAGATGTAGACACTGTTTGGTAGTTATTTCAACCATTTCTCTTTGACAGTGTCTCTGATCTTAGTTTGCATTCCTTTTCACTCTTCTGATTCTTCTGCTTTTCTGAACTGATCTCCCTCCGTTGACCGGTCTGTTTCTTTTTCCTACTCCTTGACTTCTGAGCTTTCTCACAGTCCTGGCTTGATATTTTGTCTGTATTTTTATTGTCATTGCTTTGGGAATCTCATGAAAGAAACAGCTATCTGTTACCAAAGAATGCGGATAAATAAATGAGTAAACACATCCGTCTACTTAGAAGCGCCATCTCTGGTTATTTGTCCCTGCATTACTTCAGACTCAGTAGAACTAAAATTAATCTGCGAGGTAACTCTCTTCAGCCATTTAAATGTAGATAGTTTTAGTACTCCTTAAATCAAAAATAAAGGGCAGTCATCACTCAGTCATCAGTGAGATCTGGAAATGAACGAAGACTCCTCTAGTGGGAAAGTGTAAAGTCAGCACTTCTGCTTAAGTGCCTGGCTGAGCATCACTGGGGCCAGTGACCGTCTCCTCCTGTCACTCACTAGTAAGAGTTGGGGTGTCCGTGATTTATATCCAGTTCTGCCTCTTATTGGGCTCTCCAAGTGGCTCAGTGGTAAAGGATCTGCCTGCCAAGCAGAAGATGTGGGTTCGATCCCTGGGTCAGGAAGATCCCCTGGAGAAGGAAACGGCAACCCACTCCAGTATTCTTACCTGGGAAATCCTATGGATTGAGGAGCTTGGTGGGCTACAGTCCATAGGGTCGCAAAAGAGTCAGACATGACTTAACAACTAAAAAGCAAACAACTGCCTCTTATTAGATGTGGGAAGAGTTATTTGACCTCCATGAACTTCAGTGTCCTGTGTGTATAATCAGATAAACACTTCTTTTGTAATATTCATCAAACATTGTTTAAGAGTCTTAGGTTGCGGATGTTCTAAAGCAGGTTGTTCAGAGTCGAATAAGGAACATTCCCTGTCCTGGGAGAGCCACAGTGTTGTAAATTCACTGCATGAAAGTGTTGGTCATTCAGTCATGTCCAGCTGTTTGCAGCCCCATGGACTGTAGCCCACCAGGCTCCTCTGTTCATGAGATTCTCCAGGCAAGAATACTGGAGTGGATTGCCATTCCCTTCTCTAGGGGATCTTCCCAACTCAGGGATTGAACCCAAGTCTCCTGCATTGCAGGCAGATTCTTTACTGTCTGAACCACCAGGGAAGCCCCTTGTTGGAGAAGGGAGGCTACTAATCATACAGAAGAGAGCTGTGCAAGAGAGTCAGAATAAAATAAGGTCATCATTGCTATTGAGTATCTGAGCACAGTCACTGTTAGCTCTTTTCTCCTTAGGAACTTGCAGAGGGAAAAATAGGTACTCAACAGAGAAAGAAGACAGTTGCAGTTTGGAAAGAATGGGTGAAACATTTCATCCACTAGAAAGCACTGAGGGAGTGGAAGTTTGAGCCGGGCTCTGTGGAAGAGAGGTGGGAGGTTTACATGCAAGGGTGGTGATGGAATGCATCATAATTAATATATCCACGGGTGGGCAGGACACTGTTCTTAGGGATTTTTTGCTTAGAATGTTTTTCTTGTGCCTGCCTCTAGGACATTGAGTCATTGATGTCTGAGGGAAACAAGTCTCGGACGGTAGCTGCAACCAACATGAATGAAGAAAGCAGCCGCTCCCACGCTGTGTTCAACATCGTCATCACACAGACACTATACGACCTGCAGTCTGGGGTGAGTGATTGGGTAGAATGGGTGACAGTGAAGGGACTCACAGTTCCTGCCTGGGTGAACCGCTCCTCGATTCGGTTCCTGATAGCGTTAGGTCAGCTCTTCTGCTTACTGGATCAGCTACTCTGCTTACATCATGTAATGTGTTAGGTCTTTCCCTGGTGGCTCTATGGTAGGGAACCCACCTGCCAATGCAGGAGACGTGGGTTCAGTCTCTGAGTCGAGGAGATGTCCTGGAAAAAGAAATGGCAACCCACTAGAGTATTCTTGCCTGGGAAATCCCATGGATAGAGGAGCCTGGTGGACTGTAGTCCATGGGGTTGCAAAAGGGCCAGACTCGACTTAGAGACTAAACAAAGCAACAACTTTATATATAACATTAAAAAAATGGAATCCTTGTATAAATGCTCTAAAGACCATGATGCTGTCACCATACCTCTTTTAATATGTATCCTTCCATAGTGAAATTCCCCTAGGAACAGCAGGGTTTACCTCATAGTCACTAAAAAATATGAAAGAGGAAACCACGACATTCAGGCTAAAGATAGCTTAAAAAAAAAAAAAAAGTGAAGGATTTGACCTGAATGTGCAGGAACCCTCATGTCCTAGAATGTTCTCCTGGACGCATAAAAGCTCCAGCTTTCTAAATATATTCTGGAAAGGCCAGTGCACTTGCTACCCAGCTACAAAACAGAATCCCATGCTGCCACACCGACTTTTAATTTTTACCCTAAAACTGCCAGTCCAAAGAACTCTTCTTACCATTTAAAATCTTCTCAAGTTTGCCGCCTTGAAGCAAGATGCTTCCATGGCGGTGCTGACGTCTGCGTCCGTATCGGTTGGTTTCTGCACTCACGTCTGTCTGTCGTTTCTCTCTCGTCTCCCGCAACTAGAACTCAGGGGAGAAGGTGAGCAAAGTGAGTTTGGTGGACCTGGCGGGCAGCGAGAGAGTGTCTAAAACCGGAGCTGCGGGAGAGCGCCTGAAGGAAGGCAGCAACATTAACAAGTAAGGGGCCTGTGCGATTCCCACGGGGAACCCCAACGTCCCACCAGCTTCCCGAGTGTCCGGGGCAACTTGTCCCCTTATGGTCAGGTGCCTCTGATCACAGGTGGTTCAGCGTCTGTGTAGCTTTAGTGAAATGGGTTCAAGAAAAACATCAGCCTGCCTCTGTTGAGATGCATGAGGTTTATTTAAGTAAAACAGCACGAGGCAGCCGGGTTCCAGCATTGTCCATACAAACACCCAGAATATCATTGTATAATGTAATTAATCTTACGTAAATGCAAGTAGCAGTTTTAGAAGTCAAATCATAGCTTAGATCTAACTCTAGGAGCTTATTCTAAAAAGAAAATCTACTTCAAATCCCTTTGTAAGGCTAATACTTGTCTTCCCTGGTGGCTCAGTAGTAAAGAATCCACCTGCCAATGCAGGAGATGCAGGTTCAATCCCTGGATCAGGAAAATCCCCTGAAGGAGGAAATGGCAACCCACTCCAGTATTCTTGCCTGGGAAATCCCATGGACAGAGGAGCCTGGTGGGCTACAGTCCGTGGGATCCCAAAAGAGTTGGACATGACTTAGCAACTAAACAACAGAAACAATAACTTCCCCCCAAAAGTAACAGTTATAGAATAACTGCCATGCTGAAATCTCATTCTTTGCCTTGAGTGCCTGTAGCGTGCCCAGGGATGCGGGGAAGGCTGAAGGAGAGCTGAGGGGTGCAGGGTGTGTAGGAGTTGGCCCACTGGACAAGGAGGTGAAGGCTTTCAGGGAAGGGTACAGCAAAGGCGCAGATGAAGGATTAGTTCATTCATTTTCTAATTATTTATTTGTTTGCACTGGTCTTAGTTGTAGCATGTAGGATCTCAGTTCCCCCTACCAGGGACCGAACCAGTGTGCCCTGCATTGGAAGGTGGACTGAGTCTTAGCCACTGGACCACCAGGGAAGTCCTAAAGGGCTGGTTCTTTGGGACGTGCTGTCCAAGGATGCCCCGATAAGCCAGAGAAGTCCGTCTTCCCCAGCATGAGAGGGAGCAGAGTTTGCCCTTTTAGTCTTATATGCTTGAGCAGGACTGCCTGGGTCATTCCTGCCTCTCCTCCACTTACTAGATGCATATGTATCCCAGGCGAGTGAATATACCTTCATTTTTCTCATCTGTATAATGAGGACAGTAACAGTATCTGCTTCATTGAGTTGTTGGGGATTAAGTGCCCGGAATGTGCTTAGAACAATGCCTAACATGTCATATGCACTGAAGAAATAGTAATGGCTCTAGCCATTATTTTTATAGCTTGTGTAAACAGCATAATCATTATTTCAGGTTCAGCAGAAAGAAACGTGGTTTGTACGTGTATGTTTCTTTTGAGACATGATAACTTGGGCTTTGTATGTATACCGGACAGCTGATTCACTTTGCCATACAGCAGAATCTAGCGCAATGTTGTAGAGCAGCTATGCTCCAAGAAAAAATTAATGAAAAAGAAAGAACTTGGGGTTTTGTTTAGGCAAAAAGGGGACAAGAAGTAATAGATTCAGGAACATCTTTGTGCAGCTTGCATTGCAAAATGGCTCTAGCACATTGTAATCTCACAAAAGTTTGCAAAAGTAGCAGTGAAATATCACCCCCTCTATCAAATGGACATAGCCATGCTCACTGCACAGGCTGCTGCTTGAGGGGGTCAACTCCCAGTCATTCTGTCTCTTGCTCTGATAACAAAGGATTTTGCTCTGTTTCATGACAAAGCATTGTAGGAGCCCAGACTGGCAGACAGCTCTGCATTCTAAAGTGAGTACAAGACAGGGAACCCTGCTCAGCGTTATGTGCCAGGCTGGATGGGAGGGGAGTGTAGGGAAGAATGGATACATGTATACATATGGCTGAGTCCCTTTGTTCTCCACCTGAAACTATCACAACATTGTTCATCAGCTATACTCCCATATAAAATAAAAAGTCTTAAAAATACAGAATAAAATAAGTAAATGAGTGCAAGCACCAGGATGGAGAAACAGAAATGGGGGTGTGAGGGAGCAGGCACCAAAGAAAAGATTGTCATCACTCCTGGAGGTTTGTGTACTGGCGCTCAACCATGCTAGCTGTCGGCCTGTGCCTGCACTTATGGGAACACACTGGGAGTTCTCTAAATTCATGGAAATCTGGAGTATGGCTGGCCTTGACGTGTAAGCATCACCAACTTCTGTTGCCCTCTCACTGTATACTAGGCACTGTACTATGTACTCTGTATGTAATAATTCATCTGAGCCTCACGTCACCATTTTATAGACCAGGAAACCAAGGCAGAGAGCAGTTAAATAATATGGCCAAGGTCACAGGGCTCTAAGCGTGGATCTTAGACTTGGTTGTAGGTAGTTTGGCTCCAGAGCCAAGGCCCACTCACTGACCTGCCCAAGTGTTGTGTTGGCCTGGGAGAATCCTGACTGATTTTGTCCCAGAGGAAATGTTAATAGTGCCCCCCCTCAATTTGGACACTAAATTATATAGTGTCTCAAACTGGCCTACCTCAAGGCCACACATAACATGATTTAGATATTCCAGCTACTGGCTCTTTTCCATTATGATTTAATGAATTGAATGGATTTCTCTTAGCATCCTGCTGTCTTTCCTTATGTGGCTCTTTCACAAATGGATGTATGTATTCCTTACTACTAGTCTGTGAGATACCTACATTTTTAGGGTTCTTTTTAGTTTGGGGACACTTTCATATGCATTATTTCATGTGAAGTTCATTATATGTATTTATATTTCTGTTTAAGGATAAGGAAACTGATGGTTGGAGATATGCATTTATATAATATGAATAAAACTGAGCAGGCCTCTACTATGTGTCTGGCACATTAAATGTGGAGATGCAAGAGGAACTTTGTTGTTGACAGAATATTGCCTCCCTGTCCCCAAATACATCCAAGTCCTAATTCCCAAAACATGTGCCTATATTACCTCACAAAGGGATTTCGCAGGTGTCATTAAGTTAAAGATGTTGCAATGAGATTATTTGGATCAGTTCAGTACAGTTCAGTCACTCAGTTCTGTCTGACTCTTTGTGACCCCATGGACTGCAGTACACCAGGCCTCCCTGTCCATCACCAACTCCCGGAGCTTGCTCAAACTCATGTCCATCAAGTCAGTGATGCCATCCAACCACCTCATCCTCTGTCATCCTATTCTTCTCCAGCCCTCAGTCTTTCCCAGCATCAGGGTCTTTTCCAATGAGTCAGTTCTTCACAGCAAATGGCCAGAGTACTGGAGCTTCAGCTTCAGCATCAGTCCTTCCAATGAACATTCAGGACTGCTTTCCTTTAGGATGGACTGGTTGGATCTCCTTGCAGTCCAAGGGACTCTCAAGAGTCTTCTCCAACACCACAGTTCAAAAGCACCTTTTCAGTGCTCAGCTTTCTTTATGGTCCAGCTCTTACGTTCATACATGACTGCTGGAAAAACCATAGCTTTGACTAGAAGCTTTGACTATGCCTTTCTTGGCATAGTAACATCTCTGCTTTTTAATATGCTGTCTAGGTTGGCCATATTTTTTCTGCCAAGGAGCAAGTGTCTTTTAATTTCATGGCTGCAGTCATCATCTGCAGTGACTTTGGAGCCCAAGAAAATAAAATCTCTCACTGTTTCCATTGTTTCCCCATCTATTTGCCATGAAATGATGGGACTGGATGCCATGATCTTAGTTTTTTGAATATTGAGTTTTAACCCAGCCATTTCACTCTCCTCTTTCACTTTCATCAAGAGGCTCTTTAGTTCTTCTTCGCTTTCTGCCATAAGGGTGGTGTCATCTGCATTTCTGAGGTTATTGATATTTCTCCCAGCAATCTTGATTCCAGCTTGTGCTTCCTCCAGCCCAGCGTTTCTCATGATGTACTCTGCATATAAGTTAAATAAGCAGGGTGACAGTATAGAGCCTTGACGTACTCCTTTCCCAATTTGGAACCAGTCCATTGTTCCATGTCTGGTTCTAACTGTTGCTTCTTGAGCTGCATACAGATTTCTCAGGAGGCAGGTAAGGTGGTCTGGTATTCCCATCTCTTGAAGAATTTTCCACAGTTTGTTGTGACCCACACAGTCAAAGGCTTTACCGTAGTCAGTGAAGAAGTATATGTTTTTCTGGAATTCTCTTGCTTTTTTGATGAACCAACGGATGTTGGCAATTTGATTTTTTGTTCCTCTGCCTTTTCTAAATCCAGCTTGAACATCTGGAAGTTCTCAGTTCACTTACTGTTGAAGCCTGGCTTAGAGAGTTTCAGCATTACTTTGCTAGCGTGTGAGATGAGCGGGTCTGTTGTAATCACAGAGATCCTTACAAGTGAAAGGAGGTTGGAGAGCCAGTGTCAGAGTGACATGGGGTGAGAAAGACCCCCAGAGCTCACTGCTCACATGTGGGCGGAGGGAGGGGCCATCAGCCAAGAGGCAGGGGCACCCGTGGAAGCTGGAAAAGGCGAGGAAACTTCTAGCCCAGAGAAACCCGTTCTGGACTTCCAGCCTCCAGAACTATAAGATGATTGGTGTGGTTTTGAGCCACTACCCCTGTGATTATTTGTTACAGCATGATCACTGCCCTCGAAAAGGAACACATAGGTTGGGATACAGTAAGTTATTAATACTTAATCTGAAAAAGCAAAAGGCACATTAGAAGTGCTACATCACCCAGCACTGAAGCATGAAACTTTGTTTTTTAAGACACATTACCAGTCCATGGGTGTCTGCCAAGTTGGTCTTGTGCTTTTCCCAAAATAGCTGGCTCGAAGGGAGTGGAGCTGCGTCTGAACCCTCTCCCTTGAACCTCAGTCCAGGGCTGTTTTCATCCCCCCACCTGTCTCTCTCAGCTCGCTGAATGGGTCCATGTATGCCAGGCTCCCGCCACGGATCCAGATCTGCACCAGGTGTCCTCCAACTCTCCACGTGGTCACTGGTTTAGTGGGACATCTTCTCACAGTATGATCATGCCCTGAGGTCTGCACAGCTGTCTTAGAGACCTTCATAGA